CAGGTGGAAAAGCTCCTTATTCAAGGAGATCCGGACTCTGTCAAGGGGCCACCATGGGGCCAGAAAGCTCTAGTGAGCCCAGGCCATGGAGGGATGCACCCACCAAGGGCATTCAGGAGGAGCTGAGCCTGAGGATTATTTTATAAAAATGTTCAGGTAAATTTAGAACAACAGAAAATATAGTTAAGCATATTTGTTATACACACACACACACACACACACACACACACACCAAAACACTGCCATAATCTTGTCCCTAGAGAAAACCACTTAACATTTTGGTGTATAACTCTGGCCTTTTTCTTTGTGTGTGTATATATTTTTGCGTATGTCTAGGTGATAAGTTTTCATCCAAAAAATGGGTCATACCAAATATACTACTTACTTTCTTAGAGTATGTGCAGTTCCATGTTAATAACCATACTCCATGTCACTGCTGTTAGTGGCTACAGAGCTATCTTACGGATGCACCACATTTTATTTAACGCATCCCCTATTGTTGGACATTTAGGCTGTTTCTAGTACTTTGCCCTTGTTATAAACACTATGATAAACATAGCAGTCACTTTACCTAGCCAACTCTGGTTCAGCCCTCAGATCCCAGAATAAGTCTCAATTCAGAGAAGCCCTCCTTGACCCCACAGCCTGGGTACCCTGGGCCAGAGCTCCCAGAGCCTCTCCCTAGGAGCCTGCTCACAACTGAGCTCCAATGTCTGCTCTCCTGCTAGACTGTAAGCCCAGAGAGCATGAATCAGGGGTTGTCATAGTTTTCACAGTGCCTAGGATATAATAATAGTAACAGAGAAGCCAAGTCTGAGGCAGAGGCGAGCCTATAGGACATTTATTAGGAGGTGCCCTTGAGGTCAACATTTACCAGTAAGGGGAGGGAGCAGAGGGCAAGGGGACAAGCTGAGCTGCCAAGCAGTCTCACTGAGGCCCTGCTCAGCTTTCTGGTCTGGACAGCCCTGCAATAACTGAATGCAGCCCCTGGCCTCCTAGGGTGTGGCTTTGGTGAAGTGGCTGCTTAGTGAAGGCACTTCTCAGAGGGAGAGAACTCAGGGTCGAGGGCTGTCTAGGCCAGCCCAAAAGGGGATCTGAGTGGAAGGCCCCCTGCCATCACCCTAGTGAGCCCTAAACCTGGGACACCTGTCATCACCACCCCCTAAGAGATGGCACCTATAACTGTCTCCCTTTTGTCGATGAGGAAACAGACTTAGAGGCTCAGAAACTGTGCCACTCAGGCACTCCAACTCACGCTGCCTAGCGGGCACTGCAGAGACCCAGCAGGGGCCAGGGCAGACAGCCTGGGACACATGACCTGTGAGCTCTGGTTTCCTCTGAGCTGTTGGCCTGCCACAGCTAGGCAGAGGGGTGCACACTCTCAAAACTCCTATGACAATGGGGGATTTGGCCCTTTCTCCTTTCTGGCCTGTCAGTCTTGCTTCGTGTGTTTTGCTCTTGCACCAGGTGTACACACAGTCGGATTTTTAAGTCTCCTCGCAAGCTGTCCCTGCCACCATTTGAAATGGCCCCCGTGCTGCTCACAGCACGCCTTGCCTTGTCCACTACGTCTGATAGGAACATGACCATTCCAGCTTCCTCAGCGTTTGCAGATGTATCTTCTTCTGTCCTTCTATTCTCAACCAACCCACACCCTCAGCATTAAGGTGATGTCTCTCGTAAACAGCTACAGGTGGATTGGGGGGACATCATTTCCTTGCTTTTGTTTTGGGTGTTTGTACACTTCAAAAGGCGTTTGCTGCATTTAACCAAATATGTCCTCCTGAGAGGTCACAATGAGTCACCCCCTCCAGCAGTGGCCACAGTGCAGGGCCCTCTCCATATCTGCAGTGACATGCTGCGCCCTCCTGTGCCCAGTGCACATCGAACAATCTCTCTATGCCCTGCTCTCGCCCCCACCCCAGCTGCCTAGAGTGACTAGGAATGTCAGAGGCTGTCATGGGCAAATAAGGTGGCAGTGTGTGTCTGAGGCAGGGCCCTTCTCCCAGGGGGAAGGAATTGATACCTCAAAGGAGGTCCTGCCCCAGGGCTCAGATCCTGCTCTGGCATTGCTGGGCTCCCCAGTTCAATAATGACGTTGGAAGCAATGACTCTACCATTTCTTCTGCCAGGGGCCACACTCCCTGTCTGGGAAGCCAGGCGAGGAGAAAGAGTACAAGATTGTGCCCCTTTCAGCTGGGTCCTTGGAACCTGGCCCAGCACATAGCCGGGACCTGCCCCCAAAGGGAGGTGCAGTGCCAGACCTGAGCACTGTGCAATCCGAGGCTAGTTACTCCCATTCTCTGCACCACAGGTCTCTGGTCTATAAAGTGGGGCAGTAACAGTGGTAACTGTTCTGTAGGCCTGTGTGAGGCAGGTGTGGGAGAGTACCGGGCACATGATTAAGTGTCTTATAGGACTGACTGATAGCTGGGACTATTCTTTGCAAGCTGGCCATCATGTGCCAACAGAAGCTGCAAATGCACACAGGTGTGTGTACACACTGCCACTGGCACCCACCACTCAGACCCACCCAAGCACAGGCACACATGCCTGCCCAGTGCACCCCAAAGGTCACACTGACGGCCTTCCTGCTGATCTGCTTGCCGTTCTGGGCCTCAGCGCCAGTCCTCCAAGCAAGGGGCAGCTCCGGGGCTGCCTTGCCCTCCAAACCCTGCTAGGTTCAGCCAAGGGGAGACACGAATGAATGGAGGCTGGAGGGTAGGAGGAGGGGAGAGCCTACAGGCAGCACCTATCACAACAGCTGTGTCCCCTTGGTGGCTCCTTCCACTGGGCAATCCTGCCTCTTCCCTTTGTCCCACTAGACCAGGGGTGACAGAATCTTGCTAATTTCTGGGTTACTACACCATCCCATTTGGGGTTTCAGCTCCTCCATCTCCTTTGTGATCAACTCCCTGCATTCAATCCCCTATGTTTAAATAATTAGAGTGCTTTCTAGTTTCCTGGTTGGATCCTGGATGCCACAGCCAGCATCATCATATTTAATCCCCCACAACTGGGTGGGATGGGTATTAATACACCCTTTGAAGGTCGTGCAGCTGGGGCCTGAGCCCAGGAATATCTGCCTCCAGGCCCACACCCTGCTGGACATGCCCCTCACCCATGCAATGCTCTCTCAGGCCTTTCTATTAGGTATGGCGATGTGGAGGAACTGGAGATGCAGGTCCACACATAAGCGGGTCACGTACAGGTGTACATACATATGCACACAAAGCCTGCACCCTGAGAACATGCCCCCTCTCTGCCCCCCCCACTGACACTCCAACACAATGGTACAGATGACTCTGGATATATATACCTTAAGTCCCCAGTAGGGGAGGGGTAGACATCAGGCAAGGGAAGCTTGGTTCTGATTCCAGAGGAGTCAGAGAAATGAGCTGAGATCCAAGTAGAGAGAAGCTGGGAGCATTAGCAGGTAGTGAACATGGCTGGCTGCCTGTGCACAAACACAAGTACATATGCATACATGTGCACACACACAGAGGCACCTGTATACACACATGCACAGATGAACAGGTATGCATGGACTGTGCACACAGAGCCGTACATACACACACACATGTGCACGCACATAAAGGCACCTATATACACACAGGCATGGGTGGATAGGTGCACACAGCTGCCCCCAAGTGACTCCTGGGTAGGAGTTTGGAGTTATTCTTGTGAGATTTGGATGTTGGACAAAGCCCTGGACACTAGAGGCTTCTAAGAGTGTCTCAGAAGAGCCTTAGCAGTTTCTGGCTGAATGACTGCTCTGATGACACTTAAGATCAGTCAGCCAGGTGACCTGTGAGTCTACCTTGCAGAGGGCCAGCCCCTCCCTGGGCTGCCAGGAGGAGGTTGGGAAGGGCTCAGCTCCTGACCACTCACCTGTGTGGTTTGGTAAGCTAACCCAGAACTGCTAGAGACGGCCACCAGTATGTAGCCTGGCTGAATAAAACTGCTTTATGCTACCTGCTCAGACAAGGGGACACTGCCAAGCCTCAACTGCCCACTTGAGCTTTGTGTATGAGGATTTAGGGAATGAACAGAGATGTTTGGGCCACAAAGCCTGAGTTAAAGATTGCAGTCTGTTAGCTCCAGATGGCTGGGGGCTCTCCAAACAAACTTTAGCAGGAAATCCAAGGTCACCAGCAGAGTGGTCAGCAGACCAGAAGCCCCGCCTCAAATTCCTCTTGCTGCCTCACAGAGCGCAGCCCTGGGCTCTCAAAGCGCCTTAGCCTGGGGTGCTGCCAAAGGTCAAGGACTAGTAGGCCAGTGTTTGGACATCAACTGAGCACAGCAAATCTCAAACCCAGCTGTCATCTGCCCCTCTCAATCTGTGTCCCTCACTTCAGTCTGTAGAATCAAGAGCACCCAAGCCAGAAAGTTGGAAATCGTCCTTGATCGCCCTCTCTCCCACTCAAACCCAGGATGCTGTCACTTTAGCTCCTGAGCTCAGCCCTGGTCTGTCCGCTGGCTCACCCCACCAGCCTCTGGTTTATCATGCCTTCAGGTGTCCTGCACCACTTGAGCCCACCCTCCCCTGGGAGTGCAGGTGGCATCACTCCGAGGGACTGAACAGTGCTGCTCCCTGCTAGAGACCCCCAAACCCCACCTGGCAGTTTGGCCTGGCTTCCATCCCATCCTCTGGCCCACACTTTGCTCTCTGCAAACGCCCAGCTGTGCAGAGTCTGTGCTCCCCCAGACCCACATCTAAGCCCCCACTCTAACCAGCCTCTGGCTTGTCCAGCAGGCATCCATTCAGCTTTTGAACTGGAGCTCAGGAAGCTGGCCTGTTCTGGCTCTGTCCAAGAAACAATCCTTTCCCCTCATACCTGCCTCTGTGGCTGCAGCAGAATCATGGTCCCACCTGTCTCCCCTGCGAGGCTGGGTGCCCCTCAAGGTGTGCAGCCTGTCTCGTCAGCCCACACTGCAGGGCCCAGTACAGGGCTGCACAGAGGAGGCACCAACAACTGTCTGCCAGCTGTAGAAATGACTGAAAACAAAGACAGCTGCTTTATTTGTTTTCAGACAGTAGCACATCCTCCATTTCTTAAGCACATGGTGGCTCCAAGCACACGGGCATCGTGGGCACCCGGCAGAAAATGGCTGTGTCCCGGGGGTCTGCAGGCTGTGGTCCCATAACTGGTCCCTTCAGGGCTCCAGGTCACTGCCAGGGCCAGGAATGATGGCTGCTTCTCAGCCCTACAAAGGAGAACAGGTCAGAGTTCAGTCACAGCCTTCTTCTCCCAGGAACCCTGTTGATCTGTCAGAGGAAAGGTATTCTGTGCAAACTTTTGCAAAGACCTCAGTAGATGCACAGGGGCAAGGAAGAGCCTTCCGCTCCATGAACCACCCGGTGTGGTCTAGCAAGCAGGCCCAGCTTCAGGTTCCTTCTGCCAACAGAGCTGCAGCAATGGTTAGCAGTGTCTTTTCTGCTCAACTTGAAGTCGAGCAAACATCTCTCCATGCTCCCCAGAGAAGAGGAAACTTGACCTCCTACCCAGGCTTTGGGCCTACCTGATCCCATGCAGACCTGCTGCTGGGTCCGCTCTGTCTCTGGGCAGGTGTGAGCTGGGTAGAGCCTCAGACAGGATGACACCACTACTCACAGCAGCTTGTCTCCTACTTGAGCAAAAGAGGCTTTTCCACAGGAAAAAGGCCCCACCCCACAGCTCTTTAATAAACACACCAGTGCTCTGGTAAGTTCAAACCAAGGTGCCCCTAGGTGTTTGTGTGGGGGGCTATGTCCAGTCTGGAACCGCATACTGCTGGGCTGGGAAAGGGGGATGGAATGGTCTAGAAGAGGGACAGGAATTGGGGCAGGTGGGAGGAGGGGAACGGGAACTGGCTGGGAGGGTCAGGAAAGGAGCACAAGGCCTTGGGACCATGTCTCAAGGGAGGGATGCTGCCAGCCTCAGATGTCCAGGATAACTACAGCCCCCTGAGGCCTGGGCCCACTATTACCCTTCCCACTCACCAGAGGCTGGGTCCCACATGCCCCGTCAGGCCACCACAGAAGTAGGGCGGGCAGTGGGTACCCTCAGTCCCCTCCTCTAAGGCAGGCCACACCCGCTCCTTAACCTTGGGGTTCTACCTCCAGAACCCCAAGGCTCTTCTCCTTCCATAGGGCTTCCCCGCCTTTTCCAGGACCCCCACACTACACCATGGGCCCTCCTCCATGCTCCCACCCCCAAGTGCTCAAAGGAAAGAAATGGGTGGCACATGCCTGCTCTTAACTAGGTGGCTGGCCCCTGAAGGTGGGGCCTGATTTTACCCAGTGCTGCTCCTAGACTCGGCCTAGTGGGGCCCAGTGCCCACAAGGCCCTTTTCCTAGCCCAGATTTCCAAGAGCACTGGTGGGAACAGCCAGGCAGGACATCTGAACCAGGAGGTGACTGAGGGAATCTAAGGCCTACTGGTCCCTCACTGTGTAAGAGGCAGAGACCTTGAGGTTAGAATGTGTGATGTGGCAAACGTGGCAGACAGCTGTCAGCACTGGCGATGCCCGCCCCCCCACGCCCTCAGAGCCCAGAAGCCCGGGGCCTTACCTTTTGGGCAGCGCTGACACAGTGCTGGTAGGCTTTGACCAGGTCCGAGCACAGGAGCACCTCCTGCAGGTTGTCACGGTAGCAGTGAAGGATCTGAGTCTGCAACCCTGAGCACACGGGCTCCAGCCTGCGGGGCCTGTGGGACAGAGCAGGCAGTCCTTGGGCTCGGTCCCAGCGGGCAGGGGAGGGAATCGGCTCATTCGCACAACACCGTGGGTCATGCAGCAGGCTCTGCACCTCAGCTTCCAGTAACTCCTCAGAGGAAACCAGGGGGCCACAGGGTCTAGCGCTGCGAGGGCGGAGGCTCAACAGCAGCAGACCTCAGGGGGCCTGGGGTCATGCCCTATGGGGACAGGGCCCAGTAGCCAGGCCGGGGACCTTGGTGCTGACGCTCTGCCGCCTCCCAGGGCAATTCTGGCCTAAGCTGTAAACCTGATGGTGACCGTGTGATTATACACACTGTAGCTACTTTCTCATACAAAGTTGTTTTTCTGATTTCAAAACTATTACACACACAATGAGGAGAACTGGAGTACTGTAGAAATGTCTAAAAAAGAAAACTGTTCAGAATCTCACTTCCTAGAGATAACCACTACAGTATTTTGGAAGTACTTTATTTTTTCTTTCTTCTTTTTCAAAGAAGGTTTAGAACCTACAAAAACTTAATTTTTTTCTTTTTTAAAATAGGAAACCAAAAGAAAAGTGAAATAAAGATTACACTCCAGTTGGTCACCAGTGTCCTTGGGCGCCTCTGACTGGTGTCTCTTCCCGACTCCTTCCTGCCGCTGCCTTCGTGCCAGGCCCACCCTACTCACCTGCTGCTAACAGCTCTGTGCACTGTGCGCTATTATTTATCATCCCGTCACAAATCGGGAAACTGGGGCACAGGCGGGTTAAGTAACTTGCCCAATGTCATACTGAGGGAGTGGGGGAGGCGGGACATATTTTTTTATACAGCTTGGGTCCCACTGGTTCCACAAAGGATTTTCTGACTTGGTTTTCAGGCCAGGTCCACCCAGGAACCTGCGCAGCTCTAGACAGAACCGAAACACCTGCCGCCGCCTTTCAGCATAACCACCACCATGGCTCCGGCGTTCAGTGGGAGCTGTAAAAACGCGGAAAGCCTCTCCCCAAGGTTCTCAGCAATGAAAGCATCACTATATGCTTTATGCGCTCTGCTCCTGTCGCACGGGAGGACTTGTAGGTGGACAGTTCTCCCAGCCCAGGATCTCTATTTTATATTATTTATTTATTTGGTTAATCCTCACCCGAGGATATTTTCCCACTGATTTTTAGAGAGAGTGGACGGGAGGGAAGGAGAGGGGGAAAGAAAGAGAGAGAGAGACTTGGATGTGAGAGAGGCACATCAATTGGTTGCCTCTCACCTGCGCCCAGAATGGGGCCAGGATCGAACCTGCAACCCAGGTACGGGCCCTGGACTGGGAATCGAACCTTCTGTTTCATGGGCCGATGCTCTAACTACTGAACAACACCAGCCAGGACTGATCTCTGTATTTTAAAAATCTAGCCATGCAGTAGGTGCTGGAACAAAATAACACATTATTTCTTTTAATTAAAAAAAAATATATTAAACTTATAGAGGTAACATTAATTAATAAAGTTATATAGTTTCAGGTGTGCAATTCTATTAATACATCATCTGCATAATGTATTGTGTGCATGTTCACCACCCAAAGGCAAGTCTCTTTCCATCACCATTTATTCCCCCTTTACCCTCCCCTACCTCCCCCATCCCTCTTTCCCTCTGATAACCTTCATGCTGTTGTCTGTGACTATGAGTTTGTTTGTTTATTTCAGTTGTTCATTCATTGCTTTCTGTTTTATAATTGATAGCCTAGAAATAAACCCACACATATATGGGCAATTAATTTTCCACAAAGGATCCAAAAACATACAATGAAGAGAGGAAAGCCTCTTTAATAAATGGTGTTGAGAAAACTGGAAAGCCATGTGCAAAACAAGGCGACTGCTCTCTGATACTATACACAAAATTTAACTCAAAGGTAGACTAAAAACTTGACTATAGCACCTGAAACAATAAAATACATAAAAGAAAACACAGGTACTAAACTTACGGACATTGGTCTCAGAGGGGCTTTTGTGAACACAACCCCAAAGACAAGAGAAGTAAAAGCACAAATGAATAAATAGGATGGCAACAAACTGAAAGGCTTCTGCACAGCAAAAGGAACCATCAACAAACCAAAATGCAACCGACTGAGTGAAAGAAAGTATTTGCAAACAGTATCTCTGATAAGGGCCTAATAGAGGAAATATACAAAAAACTCATACAACTCAACAACAATGAGCAATTCAAATAAAAAATGGGCAGAAGACCCAAACAGATACTTCTCCCAAGATGGCCAACAGATAAAAGAAAAGATGCTCNCCTACCTCCCCCCACCCCCTTTCCCTCTGGTAATCACCACACTGTTGTCTGTGTCTTTGAAGGTTTTTGTGGGGTTTTTTGCTTAATCCCTTCATCTTTTCACCCACTCCCAATCCCCCTCCCCTCTAATAGCTGTCAGTCTGTTTTCTATATCTATGAGTCCATTTCTATTTTGTTTGTTTTTTTATTTTGTTCATTAGATTCCACATATAAGTGAGATCATATGCTACTTGTCTTTCTCTCACTGGCTTATTTCACTTAGCATAAGTCCATTCATGCTGTTGAAAAGGAATGATTTCCTTCTTTTTATGGCTGTGTAGTACTCCATTGTATAAATGTACTGCAGCTTTTTACCCACTCATCTACTACACCATTATTATTTTAAGATAACTCAAAGATACTGAGTTCATCAGTTATAAACATAAAGGAACAGAATTCTCAGCTGCTTAGGAAGACAACCAGGATTTACTGTCACACCAAGAGTCTGGAGGTGGCACTTCCAGTGCAGCTGTACCATCAATGACGCCATCTCAGCCCAGATCTCGCTCCTTCCCCTGCACCAAACCAGCACGGTGGCTGTCACCTCAGGTCTGTTGTTTCATGCACATCAGAACTGCGTCATACGCCCACCCCTAAAACCATCACTAACAAGGGGAGTGAAGAGACTATGTTTAGCTAAGACCAGGCCCAAAGCTTGAATAAAAATGATGATTTATAAACTAAAGAAACCATGCCACACCCACTTGAAGGTTTGCGACTCAGAAGGTAAAGGGTGTGTGGGGAGAAACAGCCTTTCCCTTTCCAGGAAGGAGGGGCAGAGGGACAGCCCAGCAGGCCGTGACGACCAGGCTCTGCCCCAGCAGCGCACAATCCCACCAGGCTGCTTTCTGAGGATGTGACCACAGGGAATGAGGCCGTTCTCGCCCCTCAGGACACAGTTCTGGTTCATGTCTACACAGCACAAATGAGGTCTTAGAGGTTTCTTACTGGAAGAAGACATGTGGGGTTTCTTCTCAGCACTGGGAGACAGATGGGCTCCTCAGATCAGGGGATCCTCTCACTGGGCAGTCATTTGGGACAGTCAACAACTGGGGTACAGTGGGGTGACCACCTCATTCCTCCAATGCTTATAGAATGTCTCTCGATTCTTGTATGTAAAAGTTTTTTGACATGGATGTGTCTAATTGCAGGCCTTTAAAAAGAGACCCTTTTCCTGAGGATGCAGGCAATGGGAGGGTAGTCCACCTCAGTCAAGTTCTGCAAACTGCTTCAGTTTCAGCTGTCCCATGCTCTCCCTTAGGAACGCCATGAAGGTATAGATCTTTGCTTTCTGCCCTCCATCCCACTGCCTTCCCCTCTGTGTTTTAATCTCTGATTCTCCATTCTTGGGAGGCAGAGGCCCCTCCTTTCCCGTTTCAGACCTGCCCCGCACGGTGTGGCTTATGAGACCGTGTCTTTCCGTGGGCTCTCCTTGGTACCTCTGTTGTCCTTCACACCAGCCCACCTCTGCTCTTTCTCACTGGGTGCTGCCCCTAAAGCAGGAGCACCTGAGGGCACAGGTTTTACTGCACCCTCCTTTGCATTCCCTTGAAGTAGCACCCACCAGCATGTGACTGCCAGGGGGCCCTGTGCCTGGCCGCAGCCTGGTCGCTGGCAGGCACAGCGGGCCTCCTTGGTCAGGAAGCACCAGGCTCAGTAGGGGCAGAGCTGTTCTGAGAGCAGTCCTGTATGAGGCTTACAGGTCTACACAGAGAGGTGTCCTGGAATAGGTCAGGTGGGGCCCGTGGGGCCTGAGCCAGGCAGGGCAGCCGAGTCATCCTAGAACCAGAACCCTGACCCTGAAGAGCCTTGCCCTCTCCAGTACTACAGCAGAGACATGGCTCTCACTTTGCAGGCTGTAAATGGGCAGATCAGTCCCTCTCCCTCTGTCCCCTCATTTGGTTTCAGGTCCCTGAACAAGGGCCACTGTGCGTTTTGAGGGCAGACCTCACCAAACACCTAGCAGGCTCCCAGCTCAGGAGAAACTGGGCCACGTCGAAATCCATCCCCTCTGCACCAGCACCACCTCTGGGACTGCAGAGGCCTCTCTCCTCAGGGATTTATCAGGAACAATATGAGGAGACAGGACGGTAGGCAAATGTCAACTGGAAGAAATTTCACCCATTTGCCTGCAAAACAGCTCTGAATGAGATCTGACAGGGAGAGTACAGCTCGACAAATAAAAGGCTTTCTCTGAGCACGGCAGGGTTAGGCCTGTAGTCAAACCCTTCATGAAAATAGGCGCATTCTACCCAAGTACAGCTTTACCTGGCCCTGGTCCATGGTAACCTGCATAAGAAACTGCTCAGATTTTCAAAACATTCAGTCTTGTGAACAGTTGCTCTTCAAATGCACACGAAAATGTATCTATAGTGTTCTGTGAATTTTCCAGGGATTGAGATAAGTCCTGTGCCCCTTTCTGAGGGTGTCCGCTGGTTTTGGGGTATTTAACATCACCCAAATCAGAAGCCTCACATGCATTGCTAAGGATGTCACTCACCTCCTTAGCCTTTACTTTCGTCATCTGCACACTGCGAACAGTGCCTGCTGGAGGCTGAAGAGGACTGAAAGAGGGTGCTGTGAAGGACCACTCTCACCAACAACCTGGTTGTCAGTGCGGAACACAAGGTGGGGTAGGGGTCAGATGAACTGGGAAGAGCTGAGGAAGGGAGGCTGAGGTCCTGGTG